GAGGCATGTATATATTATGGTCACGGTGTATACGGTTAAAGGGGACAGATAGATGTCCGGGCATTCGATGAGCGTTGCTCGGGCGACTTGCGATAATCGCTTGGAAATCGTCTAGTTTCACCGGCACAATTCTTATGAACTTTTCCGCGGTTTGGGTGCCAAAGCCAAATGTGTCAAAATATATTATATAAATCCACGTGACGAGATTCGTGTTGGACCACTGTGCACAACAACAAACAAGTATAGGTAGTCAAATATGGTCGAAAACCGGTTGTTTTGTTTATTTTTTCAAATTCTTCTCCCGCTTTGCACTCATTATCGAGTTCTTCAAATTTTAAAGGATAGCCATATATTATCCTTACACACTTATCTACTATGGTATTATTATCTCGTTTTATTCTCCAGCTGTAGTTACGGAGGTGTGTAAATAATATTATAATACAACAGTTAGCGCATGAACTACAGTGTTCATGATTTTATTTGTGCGACTTGTCAACTATATATACATTTTAATGTCACAACTTCCATAGTGCAGTTTACATTTGAACAGTCGATAATTGACGGAAATGTAAATAATTCACATCTACAATACCACATGATATTTTAATACCTTTAACTTACATTCTATATGACTTGTCTATATTGCACGGGATGGTGAGGAAAAACGCCCGGCACCCATAATTATTAGGATTTAAACATAATAAGAATAAAGTTCTACCCATCCCCAGCAATAGGGAGATTTCGTAAACACCACCAGTGACATAATATTTTGTACGTGCCTACACGTCCCACACCCATTTCCTAACCAAGTCTTCGTCGACCCACTAACCCACTATCGATTATGTCATCTTTCAGCGCAGTACGTTTTTTATTTCACAAAATGTTTAAATCCCACTCGCGGGATGCAACTGCCCATCTCGGCGACGGCCCAAACGAGGTGTACCCACAATGACGCAAACTTACCCACCTACCCCACACGGCCACACGCACGTCCGGCGTTAATATAATAATATATAATATTGTATTTTCAAGCGATATATCCGGAAATCGATCGAAATGAGATCGCGACGTAAGTTCTATGTAACAATTATATTCTGCTTGCGCGCGGTATTGACAAGAGGAGAAAAGGCGTAAAAGATGACCATTATACTATTATGGTGACGACGATGAAGATCGGATTGTTTTTTTTTTTTTTTTGGCAACGATAGCGTTTTCGTTGTAGTGCACCTCTACAACTCCAGAGAAGTGATTTGGCGCAGATTTATCTGGCATACTACACCATGTGAAACATCCTAACCGTTTATTGAAACGAAAAAGAGAACAGGACAAATACAATATTATTGTTATCCAATGACGATAACATATTATATTATATCCCATCGCGCCTCAGAGCGCTAGCATTGATCTATATATATATCGCAATGGTATACTATCACAATGACAATATATAATAATAATAATAATAATAATAATGATAATGATACAAACGATCAAGCTCGAGTGTAACAATATTGAATTTACTGCCCACTGGGTTTGAGTTGAAAACTCAACTCGTTTTCGTGATTCGATATAGGTACGACATAGATAAACTTAACCGGCAATTAATATAATATTAACCGTCGCAATCACACACATACCTAAACTTGCATGACGTGCTCGACGTAGCTATAGACATTCGACGTACCTATACTCACTACATTAATGCTAATAAACACTTAAAATAATATAACATAGTGTAAAGAATATAGTAGGTATACGATAGGGGTTTTAGAGAGTTTAGACGATTAACCGATTCTCTAAGACTATCGAATAAATCGAATAAATTCCTTTTTTTTTTTTTTTTCAAATTAACTGTAAAAATATAATAAAAATAAAATTATCTTTGTCGCACCGACATAATATTATATATAGGTGCGAATAATTAAGATAATTCAACTTTCAAAAGTTTGGATAGCAAACAATTAGCACGATTAATATGAATTAGAATTTATGCGTTTTAAATTCAACACACGTGTACGTAGAGCTAAACTAATATTTGTATTCATGTTTAACGTACTCACATATATTTATACGATATTTTGTAATAAAAAAACCCCTCAATAATAACAATATTGTATTAAGTTGTAAGACAGAAACACTGCATCTATCGATAAATCAAAATAAAATGAAATCGTCTAATTTAATTTCAATGACAATGCAGTGAATGCAACGCAAATAAATATTAGACTTAAACTATAATATAAACAATACGTGTTAAATCCAATATGAAAATGTTTGATTTAGATTTAAGTGATTTAACCAAGGTATTATTATATTTATGTCGTATCAATTATACTATTATATAATGGAAGTAAATATTATCAAATTCCAAACAATAATTATGATATTACACATCAATATATACGTTTATATTATAATAACTACAATAAGTATAGACACTCAGCATTCTAGAATATATTATAATATTAAATGGAAATTATATAACTCGGTGTTTAATCAAAAATAATATATAAGTGTTTTTTTAAGCATGTTTCATAATAAATATTTTTAAAAAAAATGATAATAATAAAAATATTACATACAACAACTTAATATAACTGTGTGAAGTATGAATTTAGATTACTATTATTATATAGTTATAAACATGTCATGTATTTTGTTCTTTATAGTAATGATGCGTTAAAAAGAAGGATAAATATTATTAATAAAAATGCAATTATAATAAACACCTGTTTAAATAGAATTTTATAAAACTGTTCGTTGTATTAGGTATTATTCCATAATATTATTTTGTAACACAAATATTATCTTCGACGATGAAAAATTAGATCACAAAATATGTGTTCGTCTTGTCAATGTGCATAGTATATTTTTTTTCTCTCCTGTGAATGCTTTGCACGAGTAACTTTTTTAGTTTTAAATAAAAAATTAATCAATAATACATTGCGTTGTTCTTGAAATAGCATAACTGTTGTGCAATATTGTAATCATAACAATAGTGGACTATGCTGCAGTATGATTAATTATCATTTATAATTTTACATATTATTAGTATTACAACCCAACTGATTTAAACACGAACCATGTAATTGGTATATTACAATGTCCAACTTAAAAAAAAAACTGTTTTTCATTAATTGTATTTCAATTCCAGTGATTTTGCTGTATATGTTAATTTATGAATTTTTATCCCTTTGCGATGTTCTAATAATTATTTAAATAATGAATTCGTTTGAACCGTATTATACATGTATAAAAATGTTGCCTAATATTTTGTTATCATTTGTGTACACTGTAGAAGCAACGTAATATCAAATAATTATTCGACATTTTTTCTCCGTAATTTTAATAATTATATCACAGATCTAGTCGATGCTGCCAGAGTGTAGCCATTTGGCAGTAATTTTGTTGGATTCGAATGTAATAGAATAACTGAAAAAAAATCAAACATCCAATTATATTATGTAAGCCATGTACCGAACAACCGACGACAAGCTGCACGTGGTCAAGCCGTCGTCGACGAAACATATTTTAGTGAATGTCGAATAACTTAAGTCACCATGTTTTAGAACCTGATATTATTATTACTTGCAATTGTTTTTTTTTTTTTTTTTGGTATGTTGAATGAGTGAGCAATTGTGAACACGTTAACGAAATACACGTATTAATCATGGAAAAAAACTGCGTTGTTTGTTCATTGATGCCCGTACTTGTTTTATTGTGCATTTGTGTCTTGTGGAGGTCGAAAGTTGAAGTACGGAACACAGCCGATTGCTGTGTAAGATGACATGAAGTTACAAAAATAATAGATGTTATGATAGAGCCGCGCGGCACTTATTTCCTATTTATATTGACCTTTTTTCGACAAATCAAAATATTGAAAACTATTCTGTGAAATGATTTGATGACTTCACAATCTCACATAATAACTCACAGTTTATTTTCCTTAAATAACAATTTTCAAATAACTGTTTCACGGGTGAGAAAATATTTTCCCTGCAAAACAGACATATTTTATTAAAAAATATGACATGATATGCAAATACAAAATATATTTTTTTTATCATACGAACTAAAACATAATAACACAAAATATTTTTATATCATAACCATAGAGTAATATTACTCTATGATCGTAACTAATAATGATGATGGCAGAAAGATGCCCGTGAATTGCCTATCCAATACGCCGCCTTAAATGTATAATATTATAATATGTACAGCCGTCTCGATAACTCTAAAATCTCCACAGCTCGAATTTTTTTCTTCACCTTTGTTGTATTTTTAAGTTGTGTCTGATGTATAAACTCGAAAAATACATAATTCGAGTTTATTTTTATTTCTCTTGAGATTCGAGTTCTCGAGTCTCAACTGTATAATAATTTATACATTTATAATAATATTATACTCTTACAAAAGGCACGAGCGTATTAAGGGTAACTACATGAAATTATTTTTTAATAAATATCCCATTATTGGCCTCTACACGAGTTGGCTCGGTGAAAACCAGTAATCTGCAAAAATATTTTTGAAAAATATAAAAATAATAAAATTATTATTATGTGCTTAATGTTGATGATGGCATCAGACGTCACCTCCTGAGAGCGTAATCGCTTATTTGTTGTACTAATGGTGTTGGATCGGGTAAGTACGTGTGGGCAACTAAATCAGATAGTTGCCGTTTCAATATTACAGTGTTTATACGTCTGATGAAAAATAAATAAAAACCAATAACCAATATTGATACGATTTATTTTACTAGTGACTTTCATAAGACTATCGTTATCAATATTATTGAGTAGTGTAGTTAAGCAGGTGTCAACACATAAATAAAAACCAATAACCAATAATAATATTACATGATTTATTTGATATCACTTCGAATAAAATATGTGTTATAATCTAATTCACCAAGTTGTCGTTAAGAGTTTACTGACGGATTATAATAAATAATAATGCATACGATTAGGTATCAATATAATAATATTATACAAACGAGTTTTATTGTCATTGTAATTGTATGGTTAAGCGTAGTAAATTTTACTTATATTATGTTTTAATACAATCGGGTCTCGACAGTTCAAAAGGCTTCACAATTCGAATTTTTTTTCTTGTCTCTCGAACTGTTTACAAGTTACATTTAAAGTATACAACTCAAAAAACGCACAAGTTAATATTGTTATCTCCTTTGAAATTCGACAGTTATCGAAGCTCGACTGTATATGTTTAATATAGCTATGCAAATAGATAATCTGTACATTCAAAATCAACATATAACACTTAAACAAAAATACGATCGTAACAATTAACAGTTATAATAATATCATGCACTCGACATTAAATTGTATTTTTATTTTTATAGTCGTTTCGTAATACCTATTACGGTACTGTAGGTATAAGTGGGTACACATTAATTTCTGATTTTCGACTACATTGCGTACCTATTCGCAGTTATATTATAGACCACTGGCCAAATAAATGTAATTATCGATGCGAAATAGTATTTGTTTATAATATAATAATTATGTGATTGTAATCAAATAGAGTTTTGTATCGCTTATTAATATAACATAATACTTATTATGGCATTTAAAATAATATAATACCTATTTTACTACGCACTTGATTATTAATAATAATAATTTATTATTCTTGATAAGTTTATTCGTCTATTATAGTTATCGCTACTATAAAAATATAATTTGTATTTTAATTTATACATTTCAAAGTGTATACTATGCTGGGCCAGTTTGGCTAGTATGTAAACAGTATGGGTACAGAATACTAATTATTTAATAATTCAATTAGCTTTGTTTAATGTGGAGTAAATACAAAAGTGTGAATTAAAATAAAAAAACTTGTAAAGTCTTACATTTAATTAGACACGATAGGCACACCAGGCATTGGTTTTTTTCCTGTTAATAAGTCCGTGTTTCAAATGATCGAATACAATGTGTTGCCAGATTCAAAGTTTAATCGTATTTTTTTCGGAAACCGTTATTAGTCATTACAGTCAAAGTAATAACACCAGTATAGTTTTAAGGTTTACAAATAGACAATGCTGAACTTGAGTTAACACGTCTTAATAACTTTGATTCATATATCTTATTTCTGTTTTTTTTTTTTTAGGTTTTTATTTTTATTTATTTTTTAATTCATATAAAAGGCATTGAAATGTCAAGTTCACTGATAGGTTATCACACTACAGTTAGGACTTGTTGAAGTACACAGGAATATTAATGTTTCATTTGTTTATTACTCGCAACAGCCATATGATAGCTACACTGAGTGTTTAATTAAGTTCTAATATTATGTGTATCTAATGCAGGTAATATTATTCACAAATTAATACGAATAAAGAACTATACCAATTATACTATAATTTTCTAGGTTAATAAAAATGTTTATATAAAGAATAGTTTTTACACACTTGTCTCCGACACAGTTTTGATTTAATCAACAAACCTATAAAATATAAATAAACTATTTCAGAAATGTATAGAGGTTGAAAAAAATGTCTAGACTAACAGTCATAAAATATGAAATTCGAGATAAATATATTTTTAGAATCTTTATTATTTTTATAATAGTATTATATAATTTTTTTTGACGGACACCTTCCTACACATTGGTACTTGTATTCAACATGTGTGTGCGTTACAAATAACAATATTATTTATACACATCAATATTTTAATTAGGATTGGAAATAATACAATATCAAGGTTTTATTTTACTTGATTTACAAAAGTTTAAAGTCTTTAATTTTTGGTAGAGGTATATTCATGTGTTACAGATTTTATAAAAGCTTTTTTATTATTCGTACTGAAAAATATAATTATATTCAATTGATGGCCAATATAAAACGTCTTGTCTTAAAATGGATGGATAATAATTAATATACATACAAAATTAAAAATATCGTATGGCTTTAATATATTATATTCTAATTCTAAATCCAATAATATGTTAATTAGTATAAGTAAAAAAAAAATTTAACTATAATTTATTGTAAATTAATATTTGTCTAATAAGAATTGTTCATAATTTAAATAATATGTAAATATACATGTATATTATTATATAACAGGTAGAGTACTATCGGGTGAATACCTAAATTGTAATATTGTGTTAGTTACTGAAATTTAACTAAACATCTGAAATCCATTTTTCATTATATATTATGCATAATATTATACTGGTATAAAGTTTAACCAAAAACAAAAAAAAAATAACATATTTTCTAATCTTATCATAAGTTTTTTTCTACTTAAAACCAGTTCAAAGGTGTTTATTTTTTTATCCAATTAATAATTTTGAAAAATAACAACAACAATTTACTCTGGAACATTGAATTCACTTCAGGGGTTCGATTAGGATATATCTATTAGAAAGGGCATTATTATAATATTATAAATTATCTAATGATATATTGACATTTACAATATGAAAAGTTAGGAAAAAAAATAATTATGTTGTATACAAACGATACGTTAAATGCAACCTCTTTTCAATTCCCTAATAGTATATATATATAATAAATATCTTTTATCTAACATTTAATTATTATCATCCGGTTAACTACTAAATCAGTAGTAATATCACGTTCCACCTGAAAACTTATGAATTATATAATATGTATATAAAAATAATGTGTCAGTTAAAAAAATAATTATGCAAATAACACATTAATAGTTAGTCTATTTAAATTACAATCAAACATTATTCTCTTTTAAAATTATAAGTTAACAGATAGGTACATAGTTATACATATTTTGATCGATCTTCACTATGGTAGTATAGTTATAAGATTTGTTAATATTCATTGAGGGATCAATAATAGAAGGTAGGATAATAGTATTATGATGCAATGATAAAATTAATTACATTTTTATTTCATAAAAAATACACAAAAAAAATATAATAAAATAAATTAAAATATGATCATTACCCGTGATAAAATACAATTTTACGAGTATTAAAACTATTGGCAAAAATGTTGATGATGAGAACAGAGAACAAAAAAAAAACATCTGATGAAAAATCAACGACGACGATTACTAAAATGGAAGATTTTTTGAGGATCGAATTAGGTTGATGACCACTATAAAACTGTGGGTGGCGCAGAAATAACGGCACGGTATAAAATATAATATTATTTCAAAGTGTTTTTTTTTCAGTGCAATATGCAACATGTACAATCATTAACATAATAATCTCGGGACGGGGGAAGGGGTTCAATTTATCTAAATTACAACTGTATAATGATTTGAGTTTTTTTTCTACCAAATAAATATTTTTTGTATTGTTGTGAAAAAGGTACTCTTATAATATATATATAATATATGTATTTGTATTATATATAGCTTCTGGCTGAGGAATCTTCTTATCGGTGGTGGTGTCATAGTATTATTATTATTACTATTATGCAACACAGGACGCGCCTGATTATTTGTACGATTCCTGTCTGAAACCCATTTGAATCTCTTCCAGAGTTTTGTTCTTGGTTTCTGGAACTTTTTTGTACACGTACAACACGAACAGCGCGAGCAACACGACGAATATGAGGAACACGTTTGATTGCAACATTTCCTGCGTAGAGCAAACAAAAAGTATATATTTATATAAATTAATAAATGTGTGAATGTTATTATTAATTATTGCAGTTTAGATTCTGAGCTAGGCGATTGATGTTATGGTTTTACAAAGTTAGGGGAGGGGGAGTTTATGACTTCACTTTTAGGCAGAATAAAAAATGTTCCAATTTTAATTTTTGAGGACGTTTTCTGCTAGCAAATTGAATCCAGTAGATAATATATTTGTGGCTCAAAAGTAAAAAGTTTTCAGTTATTGTTTTTAAAACAGTCAGAAAAGTCAAAAAACGTATCATGGAAAAACTAGAACTTGTACGTAAAATTGTTAGATTTATCAATAACCCTCGGTATAGCCAGACCATTTAGTGTGTGTGGAGCTGTTACGGTTTGTTGAATAACTAAATGCACGTGTTTATATGGAGCGAGGATATGTCGCTAAAAACTCGGGTGGTCACCCATCCGAGAGCTAGCGACGCCGACGATGTTTGCTGCAAACACATTAGTGACTGTGGCAAACCACTATGCTCTATACCAGGCCCAAATAAGTTACAATTGTTAATCTTGTGATCTAATAAGGCCTTAACCTCGCCGCTACGGAGGATACCACGATGGTCTATACCATCAGACAGGCCTGGTATACCTAAACTTTATTGCATTTATTGTCGTTACCTGCAGAGGTAGGAAACCGAGGCCAACGACGAAATTGGCAGTCCAGTTGACTCCGACGGCTATGCTGGTGGCCAATGGTCGGGCAGACGAGTTGAACAGTTCGGACACCAAGAACCACGGGATGGATCCTGGGCCGACGGCGAACGCGATGACGAAGGCCATGACGAGTATCACGGCCAAACCGGACACAATGGAACTGGCATTCTGTTAGAACAAAAATAAACGATCAATTAATATAATATTAAAATAGACAATAATAATGTGTTATAATAAGCTTTCGGCGGTTGTTAATAAAGCGCGAAAGAGTTACTATATTTTTTTTTTGAAGAAGAAATAAATCAGCGTACATTCTTACAATAATTATAAGCTATGAATATTGCGTTGTTCAATATTTTCGTCATAACATTTTAATAAATATGGCATGATTAATTACTACATCAAGATTCATGATGTGTACCGATAATAATTAAACATGTCAATAAAATTGACATAATGGACAATGGTTTTTTTTCTTTTTAGGCACTGTTCCTTTTTTGAATTTCGTTATTAGACTTCAATATTCAGCAGTTACACATACACATTAATTGTAATGTCCTGTTTATTAGCATAGAAGGCCGCAATATCATATTATTTCTGGATTGTAATATTTTTGAAATTTAGTTCTAAAAATACAGAATTAGACTAAAAAACGATTAGTAATTGTAACAACGACAAAGTCTCGCAGTTGCGTATTTATGAAATCTGATATTGAAATATGAAATTGTATCCATCTACGCCTTTAATCTCATCTTCACTAATAGTTTAATAGGTAAACATTCATAATAATATAAGAAAGCATGTTTTCCATTAAAAAAAAAAAGTCAACTCCAATAACAATCCGCCTCGGCATAACGATACATAAACATATAATTTTAATGTAAGGCAGGAATCTAAATGTCATAGACATGCACTCACCACAAACATCAGGGCGATGGTTAGCATAACGGTGACGACGAACATGGAAGAGAATCCAATCATTAACAGAGTCTTGCGACCGGTGAGTTCAACCAAAAACAGAGAGATCAGCGTCATTAACACGTTGAGTGAACCCATGCCGAGTGTGGCGTACTTGGCTCCGTCATTGCTCATGCCAGCCATATTGAAGATTTTCGTGGAGAAGAACATGACCTGGAAATAATAAAAAGTTTTACAATTATCGTGATACAATAGAGGTGTGCAGCATTAGGACATAGGGTCTGAGTCGCAGAATCAAATTGTTAAATTAACTGCAGCGCGTTCGAGTGTTGTATATGTATAAATAAAATAAAATAAATGACCGGTCGATAATTTTATATTTGAAGCGATGGTAGTAGATAGTTGTATTAGTGTACAGTTTCAGCTACATAATGACAGCTCGTCTAAAATTGAAACCAAACACTTTTAGACGAACATTTGTGAAACACACGAACAAATGTAGAAAAAAAAACGTTCCACGCGTGTCTCGGAATAATAATATTATATTATCACAAAATATATAATTTCGCAAACTCCGAATGAATAATAATATATTTTATAAGGACATATTATATCGTACACTAGAAAGTTACCTATATACTATAAAAGTTATGGGTATATACTTACGGCGTTGATACCGGACAATTGTTGGCACAACATGATCATCACAGATATTCCGAGTGGAGTTTTCAACATCGGGTTCGACAACATCTCACGGAGAGTTACACGTGGGATGACCTTCATCGCTTCATTTTCGGCTCTCATTTCATCCATCTCGTCGTGCACTTCGATCGTTCCTCTCAGCCACTGCAGTCCTACACGAAAAGTTACAATGTGTTTAAGAAGACGTTATTACAAACAAACAAAAACCCATAGTGGGTATAAGGTTTATGACGTGTGCAATTGTAATCGCGGCTGTAACAGTCCAAGACTGATCAGAAAACGAATATAATTGTCGAATTTCTTTGTGTAGGTAAAATCAAATCCTGCTATTATTTGTATAATATTATATGTTTACTATTAGAAGTCGAAATGTACACGTCACTGAGTCACTCAATTTCACCAAGGTCCGGAAAACCGTAAAACACACACAAAACCCACGATCGAGCAAGCGTCCTAACCAAAATCCAGGCGAATCACATTCATCGAGTACTGAAGTATATATATTTTAATTGTATTGCATCGTAGTATGCATTGATTATAGGTGAACAAGTGTAGCCCTGAAGTAAAATAATCTAGTAAAAGCATAATTCAAATACATAACTGACCAAGTATTTACTCAATGGTAAAAATTCAGTGAATTCACTACATTGATCTATGTACCAGATAATTTGATCAAACAATATACGATAAAACTAAGCTTAAAAAATTATTTGAATACTTTTAAAAAGTATCTTTTACAACTCTAGGCTAAATAATAGATATATATCATTACCTCTCTCGGCTTCGATGTCCTTCTTCTTGTTGATCAGCGTGTACTTTGGTGACTCCGGGCAGAAGGGCAATGTGACGAACATGAATATGGCTGGCGCGATGATTAAGGCCAATAGTATGGGCCAAAGCTCAGCAGTACCCAAAATGTAGTCCAAACCCAATATTTGGGAAATCAAAATCGAAATTGTAACGACGAGTTGGTAAACAGTTCCGACCTGTCAAAAACAAAAATCTTTTAGTAAACTTAGCCTTTGAATTATCAAAAAACAAAAATTGCACATATATTTTATATGCATAAAATTCTACATATACTGCAAAAGTGCCATTCGTGAAAACAGTATACTTACGGATCCACGTAAATTCATGGGAGAGATCTCGGCCAGGTACATTGGGGTCAGTCCAGCGTTAAGTCCGGAGTTGATACCGATGATAAACCGTCCGATGATGATAAGTTCGTATGATGAGTACATCTTTGAAACGCCTAAACAGAAAACATAATATAAATACGACAGATTTAATTTATGTTTGTAGAGAATTATTACAATGTACATAGTACAATTATATCAGTAGGTACACGTCATAATGCATTACTTTTTACCGTCGTATTATATACCTAATATTGTGCGTCTAAATTTAGATTTACTTAATATTCATTTAAGAGAAATATATTATGGACGGTTGTTAAAGTTCACCTTCAACTTAAAAATATCACTGAATAATGACAAAAGTAAAATACGTAATAACAATATCGTATTGCCACGATGTAAATATTATACTTTTATGGGTTTTGAAATAATTGACTTTATTATAATATTATGGGTATGTTTGGAAAACCAAACAAACAATCTATCCACGTGCATAATATTATATATAAATTATAGTGCTGTTACAGGTTAATTTAATTTATTTCCTATATAAGTATAGGTAATAATAACTGCAGAATAAAAATAATTGCGTTGTATTCAAAATCGTACGATTCGCACTGCGGATACCTAGGTACACGATAATATGGAAATGTATCGATTTATATTTGATAAAATTTGAATAAAAAAGCACTTGAGGACGTCAAACGTTTCGAGATGCAATCGTGTGCTGCGCAGTTAAAGGGCACCGCTCCTTAAATGGCGAATAACGTTGGCGAACAGTCAACACGGGTGGTGACTGGTGAAAGCATATTCGCACGTGAATCGAGTGTAGACAAAAAAAAATAATAAACAAACACACACACGTGCCTGTGTTTTCTACATAGGTAGCACATATATTCTACACTAACACAGTGTAATAATAATATGATACTACTGCACATGTTATTGCACAGACAGTTATTTGCAGGAATCTGATCATATCGCACGAGCATATTATTGTACTGACGATGAACTAAGAATTGCAAGAATAAATTATACGCTCGTCGAGAGAATCACAATATTACGGAGATCTATATTGGCATCATATACTCGGATGCGACGAGGTAGGAGCTCAAACCCCCTCACAGCTGTAAAAAAGAAAAACGAGGAACACGCGTATATAGTAGGTGCGAAAAAAATTACGAAAGTAGAAAGCGGTGTGTGTACCGCTTACTGAAATTTACGGATTGTCTTGTTCAAATAGATTAAACATGAAAATGTTACTGAATTATTTATTTATTTTTTGTACAAATTAATACGCGTGAGATAATTTTTTCCCCCTTAGAATTTTTTTTTGCTCTATATAATATAAACAATAATAATTAGTTTTCAAATGCATACAAAGTAAAGACGAACGTCGAACACACGTGTATCGCATGTCTTACAGAGGAAATATTCATCGACCTCGTCGACTACTGCGTTACCAGACGGCTTGCAAACATTTATATTGGAAACTATTTGGTATTAAATGAGCAGAAATATCAAACGTCATAAATTATGAAAATAATCATAATATCATATAGAACTCGCCCGAAAATTAATGCATACGGCGTTCAGTGTGTTATTTGAGTACATATAACAATATAATTCATAATAATATTTACGGCCCGCACACCATACATTTCATAAATAATTCATAAGTGACGTTTGTTATTTTTTTTTTAAATTTCAATTCGAGATAATATTTCTGAACTAAATCTATCGTAAGATTATATTATGTACTTATGAATATCGTGTAAACCAGACGTTCTCGACGACGGTTCCATGTTCTTGGATTGAGCGTGCCGCGGAATTATTTAAAATAGAAAGCACCATTTCTTATATTCATCACAATTTAAAAAAAAAAAATAATTTTATATGAAAGATATATTAATTGTGAGTAGTATTGTAACGTTCAATATATATTTTTTTATTTCGATACTGGTTATTGGTATCACCAATGACAAGTTAAAAAATATAAATATAAATAATAATATACACTATCACCTCTGCAGTATCATTGGAAAATACGATTTCGCAAGACGGAAAATATTGAGAACCTCTGATATAAACGTACGAATATTAAATCGTCTACCATTCGACTAGGTATCATGCTTAAGATACGTGTGAATTCAATGATTTTCGAACCAAGTATTACAATTGACAAGACATTACAACAATATACGTAGGTACTGAAATGTTTTCGAGAGAAAAAAAAACGATGAATTATTTAGACAGTTATAACATATAACGCATGGTTATGTTCTTATGTAAGCATGTTCTAATGCAGTAGGAGATTTTTTTTACATTAATCGAGAGTGCAATGAAATTGTGTTTATTTAATTGAATAAAAATGCATAATTTGATTTGCAAAATCGTAATGGAAGTTGGCGATGTACGTACATGCTTACATGGTATTTACAATATTATCCTTAAAAATGTTTTCGGTGTTCAAAAACACAAACGATTACAGGGATAATCATATTATGTGCACATTATTAAAACGATCTCTCTGTATAATAGAATGTTATATTTCTGCAGTTGCGATATAGCACGTATTTCTCGTAACCATATTTGTTAAATGAAAAAATAATAAAATTCTATACGACAATCGTATGATAATGGTATACGGGTGTAATGATATAGCAAGTGACGTTTTGAATAATACAAATACAAATCTATAAGACCGGTTAATATTATGTACAATCAATTTCTTAGACTCCACCAGACGTATATATTATGGAGTAAGAAGAAAAAGTATTTCACATAGTGGCGGGAGGCAATCCCTCGGCAAACGGACCCAATTAACATCAATTGGACATTATATAAACGTCAACTTGCTACAATATATATTAAATACAATATACTATAATATTATGTGGTACACCGTCATCGACTACATAATAATAATAATCATAACAATATTATATGTGTACGTGCGCTTGACGAGCTGCAGTTGCAGTTACATAAATAACGTTTCGTTAAGGACGTCGAATTTTCTTTTTCAGTCAACCTTTGACAATTTTTTAATGTCACGATGAACACAGAGACTTGTGATATTTCCGAATACTACATAATATAGAAAACGTGCTCTACTAGATTTAAACCTGCCGTGCAAACCGTGACGTAATTGCTAGGTATAGTATATTATTATAGTTTATCGATCGTTGTGATGCGGTCATACAGGGTGAGCAGTGAGCAACCGTCTCTTTCCGTTGGCCCTGCAATTCGACCGAACCCGGCGGCTAGACGAAATCGTTTTATTCGTTATGTTATGCGCATTATTCTTAATTATTATTCTTTTGGAACATTTTTAGATTCGTCTTTCGTATCGACGGGGCGGACAATATAACTATAATAATAATAATGATATAGCTGGACGGTGTTAAATATTGAAGCGGTTATCACACCATATTATACGACGACCGAATTAACATCGAGGTTAGAAGTTAATATTATAATATCTTTGCTATAGAATATTCATATTTTGTTTTAATAAACTCTGTTCAGTCGGTAATTCGGCCTTTAATTTCTACACCAGAGCTAGATTGTTTTGTACATAATTATCCTCAAGACTTCTAGGTGGTAGATTTCTCAAAAGTGTCAACACATAAATTGGTCGGTGTATAAATAATTTAACTCGGTAGCATGACGTGACAAGTATATTCATAATTGTATCAGTTTAAGAAGATTCCTTTTTTATAAGTGCAACTGTTACCTGTTTAACATTTCTTATTAAACTTGATTTATTCAAGTTTGTCAAGATAATATTTTTGAAGTTAATGTTTCTAAGATCTGATTCAAGTTAAGTTACTCGATGCATTATAGCTACGGTTAGTTTCGGTGAAAATAATGCACAAATATAATTATTATCGAGCGTTTAAAAAATTATAATTAGCTGCCTGCGACTAAATACTTGTAACTAAAAGCGTGGGTGGTAAACTATGTCACATTTTATTGATGTATTCGTGACGGATATAACACGTGCCTACAGCTGTCTATATACGTAATAAATAACACTAATAAGTAATAACACCAGTCGACCCTGACTTTGGTATGGACGACATGGGATTTGGCGGGATACGATATAATAATATATTATAAGTCGTAGAGAAATTAGAAATTGTATTTGAATAAATTACCATTAGATTAAAACAGTGAACTAATGTCAATGTTTTATTCATTAGTTAAGAACAATGTGGCTTTACAGCGTGTTGTAGATGAACATGGGCCTACAGCATCAGTGTGTACCTATGCTTAATATTTGATTATCTAACGACAAGCGTAAGAAACACGTGTGTGTATGTGTGTATTAGTTATGTATAGTATTTTTTTTTTTGTTAAAGAAAGAATTTATTGACTCTCAGATACCAAAAAAAAAAAAATCACTCTTTAATTTAAATACATAATTATATTTCTAGTAGAAGTAAAACGTTAAAACATTTTATTAACTCCGTCACAATTCACGGACATAATAAACGTATAATAAACCTATTAATATGTTTACTTATTATTAAGTTATATGATCCGGCTTACATGTTAAGTGTTTTCATGTGGGCGAGTTAATGAATATTCGATAATATGTATAAAACCGTGTGCACTGATATTATTGCAACTATCGTCAAATGCATCGATCGATTTGCGCTTACCTTGGAGTGCAGCCGACAGGATGACCAGTGCGTTGGACACTAGCAAACCGCCTTTGCGACCAAACTTCTCGGCCACGAAGCCAGTACTCAAACCACCGACCATACCGCCGACACAGAATATCGACACCGCAATGGCCCATATCAATGTCACTTGGGTTTGATCCGTTGGCTTTCCGTCGTTCCTCTCGGATATCACACCGCTAATCCATTTTTCGATCAGCTGTAACGATAATATGGAAAAATCAAGTAGTAAAATATATCACTGAAATTCAATAATATCGCGATTCCTTTACACGTATTTTAATATGCAGCAAATTTTAGCATGGCGACGAATCGTGAAAAACAAGAGAGATTTGTATATTTTAATCGTATTATTTTCACCCATGCAGAAAAAAGTAGAGACAACTATGTATGTTTAAGGGACACTTGTTTTTGTTTGGGCCAAATAAAATAGTAAACTAACATCTTTTCAACTCCGGAAATCTGTCTCCCCACTTCCACACAATCATGAGGTAATTCTTGAACCCAAGGCGCGTACAGGAACATCAGTGATTAATCGTAAAAGCGTGATATTATTATGGTGCCTAATGCACTTTTAAACACAACAGAAAATTCTGTACCGGGTCGCGTCAATCAACTGAGGGATTTCCGGAGGATTATTGGATAATCTATACCTCGGCAGAGCATCGATTCGACATTATTAACACGGCGTTTCAGCCGGTCCGATGAATTTCCTCTTGGTCATAAAAAAAAACAATCTCAGCGACGTAATGATACATTATTAAAGCCAAACAGTGGCGGCTCTTTTGTTTTGCGCTCGTAAAACGGTACAATATACAATAGGAGCAAGGTACTACTTAAAAATGAAAAAAAAAACCATTCGGCATACGTTTTACTACGCATACGCACATCGAAAATAATCGACAAACGTGTTAAATGTATACACGAAATGTCGAATTTTGGCGAAATATTTGCGGCAGACCGGGCCTAATTATATAGGTACCTAACTACGACAAGGACGTACGGCGAAACGAGAGCAGATAATTAAAAAAAAAATTACTCTGGTGGTAATCTGTTAAGTATTATAAGTACCTATACGGTTGTTTGAAAAAAATATTAAATTACCGCGTTTTCTAGTACTCGTTTCCCGTGTGTGGAAATATAATAATGCGAGTTGCGTGCGCACTGCCTACTGCCCAATAAAATACGCGCCCAAAGTGCGTTAGAATCCGGAGAGGAAAAAAAATAAAAAATATTTTGTAACTCTACATAGACACGGGAATGCGTTCCAAAGACGCGTTTCGAAAAAAAAATACACTTAATAAACCTATGCCCTCTGCTGCGTTGGAAATTAAAACGAGATTTATATCGGCAGGAAACATGTTGTCCGACGACAGTGCTCTGCTGCTTTGATGCCGCCATTACATCACAGGAGGCGCTCACTAAAAACGGTTCCCTGGGATTTATTTTTTAATTTTATTTTCCACAATCCAAGTATACGTATAATAATATAATCATATATACAAATATTATCATACGAGTAGGCATCCCAAACGCGTTTTATAGCCGTCCGCGGCGGACAGATATTCCGACATGCATTCCTTCGTATAGTCCGGTCTGCGCGCGCGTATATGTGTGTGTGGGCTGTAAAAGTTTTTTTGGGGATTTATTTTGAATATATTCGGTGGAGAAGAAACAACTATATACTCGATTAATTTATCGTGGAAAGTAGAAAAGAAAAAAACATACACATGACGTCTCTCGAAATCGATAATAATCGAAGGTGAGCGCGCGCGCACCCATCGAGCGGTTCGAAAAGCGTGTGTCCGTACCAGACGCCACTGTATACCTACGTATAATATTTTGAAACGTCGCATAAGAGTGAGCTAGTCTTCACACTCGATACTCCGGTGATTTTCAAGTTTTCGATAAATGCAAATTTTTGTGTCGTCTGCATCGCCCGCGGCCTACGCATCATAACGTTAACGAAAATCGATCTCAGTTTTAAAAAAAACTTTACGACACGATCAGTACACAATAATATTATTTCCGTAATAGTATTAAATATTAATTATCGTACTCTAGGAAAACGTCGATCGTCTGCGAAAGTTTGGACGGTTGTCGCTATTGACAATATTGTTATTATATTAAGCAATTAAAATTTAAGAGAGACGTAGGTAATTCGCGGGAAATCCCTCCGAGTTCCGCTTATCTTGACATTAAATGCCTGCACAGATAATACGATTGTGTAGGTTCAACGTTCGGAGTCTATTTGCGTATACAGAAATGTGCCGTTCAGTCATTATACGTATTCTGCGTATTAGTACGTCCTGCTGTAATATGATAGCACCGACACAATATTATTATACGAGATGTAATTATCTAAGATGCGACCGAATTCGGGTTAAGACTAAAAAAAAAAAAAATAATGGAAATATTATGTACCGATAAAAAACCAACCCCTTCCGTGTGTACACCTCGGCGTATAACGATGTTTTATATATTTTTTTTATTGTACCATAAACTATTATGTATTATCGAAGGAATGCAGGTAAGCCGAAACTTGTCTCGGGTCGGGTATTCGAATCTTATGACCGTGTGCCGTGTCTAGGTATTTTTTTTTTTAGAAATATTTTCGATCCCCACATTACCGAACGGATTATATTTATATAGAAAAAAAATCATCGTCTAGCGGTCGTACGCAATCGTTAGGCATTAATAATATTATATTATATTACTTGTAATAAAATCTCATTTGTGTGTGTGTGTGTGTGTGTGTGTAAGTATGGGCGAGGTGCTTACCGCTTGCGCGGTTCATGGTATCGTACGACCCATGTCGGAATGCTGACGCATGGCGGGAACCATCAGTCGTATATCTACCTACCCGCCAAACCGGAATCGGGTAACAACAAATCTACACGAAAAACCAATTGTGGACAAGATCAACCCTTTGGGATATATACCCACACGGGTAATGGGTATTGTGTACGAGCAGACAACTACATGATTTACTGTAATAATAAAATAACAATCTTATTATACAGCCGTACGGGCATAAACTATAAGACGATGCGAGTAGGATCCGAACCGTATTAACTTTTTTTTTTTAACGGTTAGCCGTCGGCTGTTTGAAATTTATTTTCCTGCCTCCGCCGGGATGGAATATAAAAAATAACACCATCGAGGAGCGTTCTTGCACTCAGCCACCAATAATATTACACCTATATTTGAATGTACAGCAGCCGAAGTATCGATGTTGTGCGTGCAACGGCAAAAGGCATTCGAACGGCGTCCTACTCCAAAATGTCAAGATGGAGTCGTGGCATTGAGGGCCCTGACTGTGAGGCGATGTGGGGGTCTCAAAATGTGCTTTGTGTTTGGGGTCCTCCGATCCACCCGTGCCAGGCCAGGGGAGAGAAATGGCTTGCCACTTGCTGTCCCTGGCGGTTTTAAATTCGCCACCGAGCAATAGTAGATGGGTATGGGTTACACCCACCAGACTTACACACCAAATCTACTTAAATGGGTGGTTAGCATATTATCATAAAACGTTGTTGAGTACTTACCGCTTGTGGAGCGTTCACCACGCCAGTGTTGTATCCATGTTGGAATGCCGAACCGAAAGCCGAAGCTATGATGGCGAACAACAGTCTTCCGTTAAGGCTCTGTAACAAAGAAGAAAAATCGGTTGGTTGTTGTTCCGGTTGTAGTGGGATATCGGTGGTGGTTTCCGTTCGTTCGTCGGAAATGGAATAGCAACCCATGCGACCCGCCGAGGCCGTTTCGCTGTCGCACGGGGTGGGTGAAAAGGTGCGTATGGTGACGCAACAGCAAAGGCCCGCGGCCGCCGAGTCCCGGAGCTTGCGCATTTTTTTTTTCGATGACGATATTAATATTAACAATAATAATAATAAAAAATATATATATTGTGATATATGGTGTTTTATTGTTATTATTTTTTTTTTTTTTTACGTCTTATGTCTGCCGACTGTCTTTTCACCCGACGATCGCACGCGACAAAATATCGTTCAAGAATTTCGTAAAACGCAACGAACTGTTGATCATTTATTATTATATTATGTCGTCGACCGCCCGACCAGCACTGAAGTCCGATAAATCGACGACGACGGCGGTGATGTGCATTTGTTATGTTATATTTTGCTATTAATATTTAGGAACATACAGGTATTATTATAATAGGTATCGATTCTTATCAGAAATATTATTATTGTTACGACCGCATACGATCGGGATTTGTGTGGTCGGACAAACCTCGAGAAGACTAATAATATTAATAGAAACTTATCATAATAATATATTGTTTGTGTGTATACTGACATATTGTATAATACATCAATGTGTTTATTAATTGTCAATAGGTACCTATCAGATTTTGTCAATTAATCGGTTACGATAAAAGTCTGCACACAATAATTGAAATCCATTTCTTTAGGTGTACCTCCGGTGGTAAATATAATTTTCATCGATATGTCAAATATTTAATGTTTTTTTATTATTATTTATTTTTGGTCCAGTTGTTATTTCACATATTGTCAGTGTACATAATAATATATCAATATTATTTTTCACAAACGTGAAATATGCACAGTCTGTTTAATGTTTATACGTCCGCTGAGTTCAGTCATATAGTTTATTATACGCGTTTTTAAATTAAGAAAATAAATATTAAATACAATAAAATAAAATATAATATATAGTAGGTATTATTTACTTTATTATGTTTACAATATATATAATATGCTAAGTTAAATCATTTATATTCTGATACTTCTAGTGACTTTCTCTTTTAATTATTTCATACTATAATACCATTAATACCTGACGACAATCACAGTACCAACTTATGTAGGTATATTATAACACTTTAATTAGGTATTTGAATTCCAATATTAAAGTAAAATGAGCAGAGATTTATAAAAAAAAATGTGCCTATTAAGTTATTTTTTAAAAAATAACTGTACTGTAAATCGTGTTGTAATGACATCGATTAATACTTAAAACATAAATATTTCCATTTCAAACGAGTTGCAACATATTTAAACCTTATATATATATTATATTCAGTGCTGTTCAGTCGCATAATATACTGACAATATTAAACCCGATTTCGACTGTGGGCAGTTTGTAAGCGACTTAAATCTGGTTTAAGTTTTGTCAAAATGTTTATTCGACTAAGAAATATAAGATTTAAGATAGTAAAATGAAAGGAGATTTTTTTTTAATAAACAAAAATATCCTTATGAGCGATCATAACTGAAACTGCTTCAATAAAATAAGATTAAACGGAGAAATGTTCATAAATTAAAAAACTTGAGAATCGATCAATATTTAATACATTAAATTATAAACATGAATTAATTAATTAAACATTTTAATATGAGTACCTACTTATGTACATTCAGCTAAAATGCTAGTTTAATCTAAAACAATGTTAAACGGATATATACATTAATATATATTATATAGAGATTTATTAAAAATGCACAATGCATAATATAATAATGGTTAAAGGAATTATTCCACCCGAATTTCGTTGTTCTGTAATACAATTTAAAATTTATTGATTTGTATTATTTATTTATTTCATATGAAAATCTGCACAAGTAAAAAATTTATTTTTTATTTTTATGTGATAACCAGACTAAAAAATATATAATTTGGTTTATATGAAGTTTATAATAATTATTGTCTATGATTTATTACAATTGCCGATAATTATTTTGCACACGTCGGACATTATCGTTTAAAAATATTCAATGAAATTTGTAAAATTATTAGGTACCTAGCTATTTGGGACATAGTCATGATAAATCATTAAAATATGTTATATAGGTACGTGGTTATAAATTTGATAGTGCGAGCAACCAAAATTATTCTTATGTAAATTAACTATGATATTTTACAATTTTTATGATATATTCGTTTATTTAAAAATAAATACAACTATTAGAATAACCTAAAAAATTTTTTTAAGAAATAAACAAATTTTCCATATTATCTCATAATTGCATTCACACCGGAGTGTCAAACCACATAAAGTCAAATAATTTATATGGATTGGTAGAATGCAAATAAAAACCGGTTACCAACACATGCACAAAGACAGGTTTGTTGGATGAAGTTTACTTGGCCTTATGTCGGTCCCTATGGCGCATCGTGAGTGCATTTTTATAGTTCCATCTCGTTTTGAACCCGCGCGCTCGTTGTATTATTATCTTAATATAATATGTTTAAAATGACCAGAATCACCATGCTTACTGCTTAGTTTACTACTAGATAATGTAAAATATTCCCAAAAATAAAATATACAAAATGTCATACTAAAAACAGGAAACGAAATAATATTCCACACCTGCAGACCTCGTTTAAACATTTCAAAAACAAAACCATGGAATTAAAATTTACTTTTCAAACTAATGAGCGCAATTTAAATACATTTATAATTATCATAGAGTATCTATAGTAAAATATGCAGCTTACGTACAGAGTTTCAATGTTGCATGGGGCTCAATCAACTAATTGGTTGATTTTAAAAGTTTAGACTGTTTATGGATGCTGTTTAGAAGAGACTCAACTGATAAGTAATGGACGTAATGAACTAATAACACACAACTGACAACTGTTATCATTTCATTATATTCAAATTCCGATAAACTTTGGTACTTATCCCATTAGTTTTTTAATTCATTTTTTTGATGTTAATTACATACCTATTTATCATTTTGGACAATTAGACAATTATTATATAATAAATAATAATTATAAGATTAGCCGATTAATTAAATTAATTCACGTATAATAAACTTTTAATTAATCAATCGGTTTATAGTCGTTAAAACAAAAAGATTTCTGTTCCAAAAATTGTAGCCAAACGCCTACACGAAAAGCTACACAACTTGGTAAAATGTGTATAGGTACTAGATAATGATTATTCGATATATTGTAATTTTGAGATAAGACTTAATTATATTATAAATTAGAATAGGTACCTACTATTATATTCTTGCAAGCGGAAAATTAAATTTTTCTTTTATCAAGTTTTCCAGAAATCGAAGAATAAACATAACATAAATCTATAAACATTTTCTGTTATTTAACCAACACGTTTAAAAGCGTAAAGCATATACAATAATATAATATGTATCTATACAGTTCTAACCATAGGCTATAATATAAATTATTAAAATAGGTTATTGCAGCCATGTAAAAGGTACTAATTAAATTTAGGATCACGCCAATACTAGAATGGTAAATTAATTTAACATAGGAATACAAATAATGTATAACTATATTAAGGATCAAACGAAAGGTCAATGTCAATAAGATGCTCTCAACAATAATAATTATATATTATATAAGTGTGTAATGCAATATATTAATATGAATTACTTCATACGCAATCTCCGACAATGCATATCGGAACAGTCTTATATTATGTTATAATTATTATTATTGTAAATAAAATATTCTATACCAGATTAAGGAGTGGTTTTAATTAATAGAGTATCTAATACCAATTTCAATGTCTGCACAAATTATAATTATATTTTGTTTAGTAATCACTTAATGAATATTTTCACGTAATTGTCCACTCGTCGATCTCTTTATTGGATTTATAGATTTTCTTTGAAATAACAAATAATTATATTGGAAATTAAATATCATAAGATAGGTTTGTTTAATGTTAATTTAATATGTGGGTGAAGGGTACAATAAGACGTACCAATTTATCGGCTTTTTATTCGAATACTATTTTTTTGTTCGAATATTATTTTTAATACTTTTTGAAAAAAATACTCTAATACGTATTTCTGAATATTTTTTATTGTATTTTTTATTTAATAAAAATAAATACTTTTTTTAACTCAATATTTTATATTCGTGATAAAACAAATTAATTGGGCACATTATAAGTTATGAACAATAATAGCTTTTCTCTTTCAATGAAATGTGACTGACCCGCGTTAATTCCCAACCATTCCAAAAGTGACAAATATTAAAAATAATATTTTCTCATTGTACTTGAATACTTTTTTAGAAATACAAAATAAGAGTACTCTTTACAAAACTGCTATTTATAGTATAGAATGTAAATTATATATATTTATGTCCTATATCTGCGAACTAAACCATAGGTATATAATGAATAATGTCCATGTACCTATAACTACTATAATACGTATACGGTCGCGATGTTTTTTCCTTTGTTGTTTGTTCGATGTCCGATGCAAGTATCGTATTTTTTTTTACCTACACCAAAGTAAACATTTCCAATCGTAATTCGCTTATTACCGCAATATTATTGCACGATGCGTTTATTTATTAAACGAGTACCTCTATTAGGCAACGAGATATTATGTTTATCGGTGTTGATTTTACATTAAGTAAACGATTTTTTATTTCACTTTTTAGCTACAAAGACACCAAACGAGTTATTTCATACACGACATATACCGCATAATATTATAGAATTATATACTAGCCATTAGGCACCTATATACAATGCTACGCGCTTATAGGTAATAGTATCATATGGTACTAATTCGTGGTGGTGGGGGGAGGGAAATGCAGTGATTGTGAGTGTGTAAATATATGTTTAAAATGTTTAAATTCCAAATGGAATTGATATTTTCGAGTTAAGACA